TTCAAAACTAAAACTTAGAGGAGTGTCGAGGTGAAGGTCAAAAGCGTTTTGGTATTCAAAAGGTATAGTAGGGAGTTGGAAGAGGTTGGTATATCTTCTAACTAGAGTTAAGGCAATTGTGCGAGGATCACCAAGGTCTTGTTGGTATCGACAACTAAAAATAATATTTCTAATACAAAGGCAGATTGTAACTCAGTTTGGATATGGGGTAGTAAGAACAGTAAAGTTGTTCTGAGTTAAGAAGGAATAATGTTAAGCTTCAAAGTTGGTTCAGTACCAGGTCCAAAATTGACCAAAATCTGAGCAAGGGCTGTTACGTCAAGGGAAGTAACACTGTAAACAAGATAAATCTGGATGCTGTACTTGAAGTATGTCTACTGCAAAATAAGGTCCAGTTAGGTGTACTTGTTGATGGCTTTGGATATTTTCATTGTGAAGTTCAGCAGCAGTATAAACTATAAAGAAGTAGTGTTTCTATGTCTGGGACTCTGCTGAAATAACTAATACTTATCCGGGTCTCTTGCAGGAATAACTAATACTCATTCAGGTTTCTTGCCAGGATAACTTTTCCAATACATCTAGAAATGTTTTGTCTGGGTTGACTTGTTTTCTCTAAAAATTTAACCTTTCTGCCAGAAGGCACCAAATGTTATAGATGAAAGCCTTCTTAATTTTCATACTATAACGACAACACAGCACAGGAAATCCCTTATGGGTATATGCGATGTTCAAGAGAGAAGTATAGCTTCTGTTAGATGTTGTCAAAAAACTATACTCTTCTCTGAGGCAGTTCGGGAAAGATAATGCAATACTAATAACTTTACTTTATTTCACTAAGAGGAGATAAACCTTGCCTGTAGAAATTACCCTAGAGAAGGAGTATCAATACAGTTTATAATCAAAAATCATTTATTAAAACAATACCAAGAAGGGCTATTCTTAGGTTTCTGTTCCTAAAGAATCCCAAGATGTGTTTACAATATTAAGGGAAGAGGAGTGTCTGTTGCTTAATTGCACTTAGGGAATTTAGCAGGTTTTATATATCCGTGAGCTAAGTGGCTAAGTGGCCAAGTGACTAAGCGACTAAGCAATTACTAAGTGATTACTAAGCGATCAGAAGGTTCTAGCAACTAATGACTAATGATTATTAAGTAACTAATTACTAAGCGACTAAGCGACTAAGTGATTAAGTGACTAAGTGACTAAGTGTCTAAGTGACTAAGTGATTACTAATCAACCAGAATGTTTTAGCAACTTCTACTACTAATAATAATACAATAATGAATAACTAATACTAATAATAATAATAATAATAAAATAATAATAACTAATAATAATAATAAAATAATAATAAATCGTTCTATAACACTACTATAAAAAATCTTAACATGTGTTATTCTTATTTTTACACAACATCAACATGTTCTTAATATACAAATTTTGAAGATACACTTTATTTTATTCTCTATATAAGCAAAAATGTTAATATAAACCAAGTAATTCTTAATATAATTCAACTAATACTTACTTTATTTCAAATATCCAATAGTTTAGCACTCTCTATTATTAATATTATTATAAACTTTACAGCTAACTCTACTAATTCTAATTATCAATCAATCTTATATACAATATCTAATATATTTTTTATAATAATATACAATAATATTAAAATTTTTTTAAACAAATAAACAAATATCTTTTTGATTAATCTTGTCAATAATCTTTTTATTTGATATTATAAAGATTTATAGTTTATATACAATATATTTTAAAATTAATGAAAACTTATTCAAAATATAACTACTAAAACTAAATATACAAAAATTCATTTTTCAATAATATTCATTCTTACTAACAATTTTTTAAGACTTATACCTTTTAATACTATACATTCTATTAACAAATAGCTTTTATAAGACTTTATTTTAAACACATGCTTTATATAATATTCCAACTTTTATCTAAGATTTTCTCTAATTTATTCTAACTAAAAAATAATTTGAACTAATTATCTATAATACTCATTAGAAAATAAGAAGTGTAATGTCACATTGGATGTCTAATTTAGCAACACAAATGTAATTTAGAAATCTTTATCTTAAGAATTTTTTTCTATAATTAAATTTCTTACTATATCTTAAAGTTTCTACTATGATATTATATAAATAAATAAAAAAATAAAAAATAAAAAATAAAAAACTTAACTTCTATCAAAGTTTTCTAAATAAAAACTAAGATTCTGTAATTTGATTTGATTTGATTAAATATTTGAGTTCAAATCAAATTCAAATCTGAAATTTTCAAATTAAATCAAATTCAAATATGATTAAATTTGATTTAATTTGATAAATATTTGAAATTTATAATTGAATGTTCAAAATTATATATCATTTATTTGAAATTTTATTAAGATAATCAAACCTTTTCATTCTATAAAACTAAAAATATTTTGTTTAGAAAAACATTTTTACTTAAAAGCTCAAAATTGATTAACATAGTAAAATTTTTCATAAATCAAGTTTTTTTTTTATTGATCAAAATTTTAAATTTTTTTAAAAACCAAATCAAATTCAAATACAGGTATCATCAACTCCATTAATATCAACCTAAGCCAAAAGACAAATTTTTATAAATTTTTATATATCAAAATTTCCTCATATATATCCACTTTAATATGGTTTCTTATTAATATCACTATCAACATGATTTTAAATCAGTTCAAATAGGTTGATATAAACGAAGATCACCTATATTTGATTCAAATATTTGATTTGATTTGAATTTGAGAAACTCTAACAAAGACCAACCAAAATTCCGATAATTTCATGGTTCCAAACCTTAAAGACTTCTTTTTGATAATATTTAAATTCTATATTAATATAATTGCCAAGTATTAATATTATCTCCAATTTTTGATAATATACATTGTAACTTCTTTATATTCTTTTCCATTCCAAAGCCAAATATAATTTTAATTTTATTTGCTTTACCATAGTCGTTATTATAAACGAATGCCCTGTATTTTTTTTAACTTCAATTATATTATGTATGCTATCAAAATTACCCAATCAGCAAACTTTTGAAAATGAAAAAAAAAACATTATAATTTTTAAAGTATGGTCAAACCAACCTACACGTTTGACACTACGTTTCGCACAGTCAGACCTCTATAGTCACACTACCAGAACCATAGTGACTTTTTTTAAAAAAATGGGTTTATAAGAAGGTTGTGTTTGTATAAAGGCTTTTTTATATATGTTGTAGCAGTTTATTTTAAATAGATGTGTCTATAAAGACAATTTTAATTTAATGTGCTTATAAAGGATGTGAATATAGAGAGGTCTGATTGTACATGCATCTTTCATGTATAAACTTTCTTATAGTTACCAATTACATTATATTACTCTATATTATTTGTGTGGTTCCTAAATTTCAATCTAACTGACTTCTGTGCTCAAATGTCATGAATTATTGTTATTGGATAACATGTGGACATTTCCAAAGTTTTTTTTTCATGTAATAAATGGGTTGACTCACCCACATCAATCCAGGATAATATCTACAATCATTTCCACTAAAAAAAGAAAAAGAATCACGAGAAATATTGAAATTGCAAACCAACTGACCGTATTGGTGAGAATCCCGATTTTAAATTCGCTACTAGGCCTAAGCCAAATAAAGTCCTTCCGTATCGTCCTTCCCATAAAAGCGTAATTCCCTATAAATATATATATATTCATAATGTGAGATATAAATTATCATCATAATGGAAAATTGTATTTAGGAGAGTCACCTTTTCAGTGCTAATTGTAGCCTTGACCACACCCTGAATATCCCCTTTGAGTTTAGGACTTTCATGTGAAGCAATGTTTGCATCATCAATATCCTCCCTTTGCCACCATTCAGCTCCAATCGTTAAATCGCTCTCGTAACTATATATATTGAATTCATATCGCGGACACAAAGCCAAATCTTCAGATACCTGTGCAGCAAAAGCAGCAGACATATGTCCCATAAATGGATTAAATATATAGGTCACTGTAAGTGGTGATTGTGCCGAGAATTGTGGGACAGTACGATAACGAATTCCGGCTGATACTTTAAATATGGATTCATAATCATAAAATTATTTAACGCACAGAAGTATATAAATAAAATGATTTAATATACAAACCTCCTCCGTTTTTGTCTCGGATCCCATAGTATAATTCGGCTCCAATTGACCATTCTCCTTTTAATGCTTCTACCATGTCATCTTCATCGGAATTCGATGATTCATCAAATGTATTCTTCTCAACAACCGATTTTTTAATACCATTCGTCATGCCTTCTTTTTTATTTGTAAATGTATCCACATGTTCTGTATTTCCTTCTGGACTATAGTTTGATAAATTATATAGTCCCTTTAAACCAAATAGTTCGCCATCTGTCGAGTAAGAAGCTTCGGTACACCATTTACCGGCGTCATATTGGAGCTCGCCCGTACACTGAAATTGGTATCCAATGCAAATAAGATTTAATGAGAATAAACATGCCAAAGAAAAAATCTTAAAATAATAATCACATGTGAAGCTTCTTTCATTCTAGGTTCACTAACGCCTGTAATGACACATTGCATCCATGGAGAAAATCTTTTTGTATATATAGCTTCAAGTCGGCCAGTTGGGATAAATAAGCGGCCATAAAGCAGATAATCTAAAAAAAATAAAAATAAAATAAAAATAAAAGACGGTAAGCATGGAATGCAATTTTGTCATAATTTTAAACATTTGAAAATTACCATTTATTGGCTTGATCTCTTCATTTTTGATATCGCCTTTCGTATTATCCACTCGATTAGCCCGTGCGAAAGGGTCAAGATGAAATCTGTCGACCATTTCTACAAAATTTAATCGAAAACTCGGTTCGATGACCAATGGACGGGAAGTAAAAAGATAACTTATTGATCCATTAAGCGTCGGGGAAGCATTCATCGAATATGAAGAATTGAACATGGGAGACTGAATTTTAGAAATTTCGAAAGTAAATCCACGTGGTGTTTTAAAATCCAAAATGGCTGGATTGATATTAAAAAAAAATAAAATGAAATTTTTTTATAAACCGGTAAAAATATCGTGAACTTCAAAATAATAGTTTTTTGTTCAGTTCTTACATTTATCATAGTATTAAAGCTCACCTCGGGAAGCGGAACATAAATTTGAATATTGGTTATCGTCATTCCAGCCGGTTGTTTTAAAATACTGGCGAAGACAATAACTCATAAAATCATGCATTATGTATAAAGGCTTGAGCGTTAACGAAGATTTTGTACATAGATTTTTACATAGCGCTTTTATAAGTCCGATCTTCTCATACGTAGTACAATCTGAGCATGATAAATATAGGCAGACTTTCTCGTGATTGGTCGATCATTTCGATTTTATATATACGTAGTACGGTGTACATCAGTTTTGGCTCAGCCAATAAAATCGTGCAATTTTGATATGTCGAAAAACTAATATAACTATGAAAATCGCATAAGCAAAAAACATTTAAAAATCTAAATAGAGATATGAATTATGGTTTTTTTTTAGAGATTGTTAAACAGTTAAATTTACAGTATAACCAAATTAGTTCTAGCAATTTAACATATTTACATTTTTAACATATATAAATAATTTTTGTAGTTGCAATGTTTTGCAGGTATTGATCGAAGATCGGAGTTAAATTATTAAATTATATGCAGAAACAATGTAATTAATTGTAAGTTAGATGTATTTATAAATAATAAAAAAAGTATAATTTACCTTGCAGAAATACACATTATCCATTGCCGTATTATCAATACTATGGAACCCTTTATATTTGCTAAAACCCCTATAGATACTTGTGCTGTTAAATCAGGATGCAGTATTGAAACATTCACTAAAGTTGCTATTGATGAAACATTGTAAGATCAGGACATATCTTTGAAAATTGTATAGAAAATAGCATTATGAATCCTGAACATACTTTTGCAATTTTCTTTGAAGCATATGTAATAATAAAAAAGATATGCTATGCAAACAAAAACTGTTATAATTTTGAGTAAAACAACAAGAAATTCAGATAATAGCAGTTATTGTTAAGTATATTTTGCATGTGAAAAGTAAGAAAAATATGATGGAACAAATGATATATATAGTCCAAAATAAACTGGATTTCATTTTGCAATTAGTATAAATTATTATAAATAGTTACAACAATTTGTTATAACTAAGTTTTTCTTGATGCATAATCATAAGTTTTGTTTAGATGTTATAAAATTTAACACTGTTGTGCAAATTTGATAAGAATGATCTTAGTTTAATAGAAAAGCTTCATAATAACAGGCTTAGAACAAAAAACATTTATTTAGTATTAGCTTTAGTCAGTTTTAAATATATTTACAAACCTAATATATATAATGCAGTAAATTATTAGTATTAACACAAGCTTTAAGGTTTAAATAAAATTAAGATGCTTTTTAAGATTCTATATAATTATGAAAATATCTTAGAATATATTGCATTAAAAAATACATATAAAACTAAACAATATCAAAATAATAAATTTGCTCAAGAAATTTTTTGTAGTATATTTTTAGAGTTTATAATTATACAAAATGTTCTAATTATAAATACAAACAGATTTTCTATTTTATTAATAGTTATTTGTAGTATTGATTATTTTAGATCTACTTATTTATTGACATTTATGCTTGTTTATTTTGAAATAAAAGACTATTATTACTATTGAGTTATACAACACTTAAATAAACTATTAGTCAGATTAATAAGTAATTAAAAATAAGATTTATAATATGTTACTTATTATTATTTTTAATTTTTATTTTAACAAGCCTACTAGAGATAATATGTTCATAATTTAGAATTAATTTTTAAAATAGTATATTGTTTTAAAATTATTTTTATATTAGATATATAATTACTAAAAATAAACAAATTTTTTTTTTAGAAGTGTGGCAACCTAATGAAGTGGTCAGGTTATCAACCTCCCAAGTAATAGGTTAGGTGTTCAAATTCTATTGACAGTAAAAATTTAAATAATCATCTATATAATATTTATATTATGATAACTATTACTAATAATTAAGATAGAATATATGTAATAGCAATTATATTAGCATAACTGACAGATCATAAGGCATCTGTATAAATATAGCATTATATAGAAGAATGCAAACTGACAATCAGGTAGTGCAAATACTAGATAAGTTTTTGAAGTTTATTTAGAAAGACTTAAGTAGAAAGGTAGTCAGATTTTTGATGATTTTACTATAAAAACTAACTCAAAAATAGATATTAAAATTGTAGTACCTAGTTATAGTACCTAAATAGGCAAGTACCTTCAGATTGGTATCTTGAAAATACTACTAACCAGGTTATTAAAACAAATCAGAAAAAAAGAATATTGGGCTAACCTAATATACTAATAAACTGAACATAGTTTTATATAAGTTATTTGGATTAGAAGTTTAGTAAAAAGGCAGATAAAAAGATAGAAATATACTAAAGTACTAGAATTATGCTATAAAATAGATGTTGAAGTCTGTGTAAACTCTATAAGAATATAGCAGTTAAATAATATAACTCTAACTACAAGTGTTGGTTCTGTTATAGAAATATTGGATTAGTTATAAAAATAAATACAAAAGACTTTAGGAAGTTTATCTCAAGGATAAAATATTTCTAAGTTTAAGATGATAATCTAACATCTGAGTATAACCTAGCGATATTAATACAGATTGCAGATTCAGAAAGTTTAAAGTAAAACACCCAAGCAAAGATATTAGATACAGCAATTAGTAAAAAATTTTTGAGCAAACTTCTTAAATAGATAATATAAAAAAGTTACATATATAGCCAATTGTATGCTTTTTTATAATAGTTTATTGAATTATATTACTAAAAAAGTTATTAATAAAAAATCAAAAGATTAAAGAAATTACCTTAACACTAAAAAAAAAAAATTTTTTTTAATATCAAAGATAAAAAATAAACTAATTTTAATAATTAGTAATAATAGTAATAATTAATAAATTAAATTTACTTGTACTATATTTAATACAAGAAATATACTAAAATTCTTACTAATTAAAATAAAATAACTATACTTAAAATTAATATGCTACTTACTTATATCACAAAACTTCTGTGGTAAATATTATAGGTCATCAAAGTTTTATGTAAAACAAAATTATATGTTAATTATAGCAATATGTTATCAGATAGTAAAATGTGACAACAATTATATTAGATAAATTAATTGATTTAAAAAAGGTTAAAATTGATAAATAAGTAAATATTACATATCTAATTTAAAATTATAATATAATTAATAAATAATTACAATAGAAAATAATTGTTTTAAATAAATTAAAAGTAGTTAACACTAAATAATTTAAGAATTAGATGCTATTCTAATAAAAGTAATTATATGTTCTAAGAATAGTAAACTCTGCATCTAAAAGTTACACTTTTTTAAGTTTAGTCATAAACTGTCTTTTCTGATTCTAATAAAAGTTTGTCACAAATGTTCTAAATGTTTATCAAAAGTCTTAAAGTATACTATCATATTATCAAGATAGACTACTACAATTTTTTATGCAATGTCTTGATATATTCTATTTATTAATTGTTAAAAGGTTGCAAGTGTTTTATATAGTTCAAATAGCATTATATTAAACTTGTAAATACTATATTAAGTAACAAAAGCAGTCTTTTTTCTATCTGCAGTATGCATAGCAACTTGCTAATATATACTTGCAAGATCAAGTATAAAAAACCACTTGGATTTTTTTAAAATATTAAGCATTTCATCAATATGGGATAAGGAATAGGCATCTTTCTTAGTAATACTGTTAAGTTTATAATAATCAACACAGAATCATAATTTGCTATTTTTCTTCTAAACTAATATAATTGATAAGATTCAAAAGCTAGAGAAGAGTCATATAAGTCTACTATTGAGCATTTGTTGAATTTTTTCTTTAATAAATATCTGTTCTGTAAAAGAATAAAAATAAGGTTAAAATCAAATAGAAGGTTCTTCTTCTGTATAGATTCGATGAGTTACAAGATTAGTATATCCTAATTCTATTGTATCTTGTGCAAAAGATCTAAGAACTTCATTAGCAGTTGGCTGAATTGTTTGTCTTGTTTAGCATCTAAAGGTCCAATATTCAATTTAGAAAGTTCTAAGCTAACACTATATTTATTATAAAGAATCATAGTATTGATTGTAAAAACTTGATATACATTGTCTGGTTCAATAGGTAGTTTTTCATCTTGCCTAAGATGATTTAAAAATTTGACATTTTTTATTCTTGAGTAAGAAAAGTATACTGTTATTAGATGGTTTGAGCATTCTGTTGAAATACTTGTAGAAGGGTCTAAGTAAATCTTTCTAACTTTTCTACCTTTTGTTAGAGCTGTAGAATAAGTTGGTTTTGGGTTTCAACTTGTTGTTGTAGTTATGCAACTTGTAGTTGCAAGAAGTCTGGTTCTGGTAAGGTTGTATTGGTTTTATTTGCTAAAGAGTTTACTTGTTCTAGTATAGAAGGTTTATAGATAGTGACTGATAATAGAGCATAGTTCTGGCAATATTTTTAATAAACATTCAACTTATCTTGATGCTTAACATATAAGCATTCTTTGCAAAGATCAACAAAAGCACTAAACTGTTACTAAAAATTAGCAATAGCAAGCCAATAGTTAAATTCTGAATAGCTAATATCAAAAGACTTAGCCAAGATTTGTTAAAGAAGTTGTTCTTCTTTTTTATTAAGGACAGCTTGTTCAGCTTGTAAGATAAATTCTTCATATGTTTAGAGTCAATTGATTTGGTCATTTACTTGAAGTTCCAATGCTTTAGTAATAGTAAGGTCTGTTTTTTGCAAATAGACTTTAGCAACACAGAAAATACAAGTCTGGTTTATTTTATACTGAGATCCAGTACTTTTGGTTAATTCAGTATAATGTCTAATTTGAGTTCACAAATTATAGTTAGAGTTATAGAAAACATCTGTACTAGTTTTATAAGCATATAAATATTCAAGTTCACAAAACTATAGTTTCTCTGTAATACTTTTTAAATTATGCATTCTATTTCTGGGTTCAACATGTTTGCATAATTTGCATTTAATCAAGATTTCATATCCATTATCTTGAATATAATAGTACTGGCTTCTGAGATTATTATAATTAAAACTTTGGTAAAAGTCAATATAGCAACCTTTACAAACAAGAATTTT